TAATGTTAAAAAAAATGGACAGAGAAAAATTACATCCCAAAAAGTACTCAATTGCATCTACGTTCTTCTGATTCCAATCTACCACTTGCATATGGACTCTCAAAAATTCATAAAGATAATTACCCGTTAAGAATAATAGTTTCCTCAATAAACACTGTGTGCTTTATACCGTTTGGCTACATTTTTACATAAAATTATATCAAATAGCATACCAAAAAATCCCCTTGGAGCTCCTAACAGTTTTAACTTATACAAACAAATTTCTAACAAAAAAATTAATAACTCTGATTCCATAATTTCATTGGATGTAACTTCTTTATTCACAAATATTCCTTATAATTTGATAATTGACAGCATTAGTAAGAGATGGAATTATATAGAACAAAAAACTACTATACCTAAGAACGAATTCATAAATCAAATAAGTTGAAAATAAGAGAAAAGAGCCAAATAGTTTTCTTAAAAATTATAAATATAATGAATTCAAATCATAATACATTAAAATCGAACAGAGTAAAATTCGCAAGTAAAATACGCAAACAGAGTAAAATTAGTAGGTAAAATTCGCAGACGTTTCGACACCGATCGGGTCATTTTCAATGTTAAATTTTAAACTCAAGTGTAATAAAATTAAATGAACGAATAACAATAATAAAATTAAATATGTGTACTTAAATATAATAAAAATTAACGAGTAAAATTGTGTATAAAAATTAAAGAGTCAAAAGTATAAAATTAAATGTGTATAAAATCCTCATTTCTTATTTTGATTTCAAAGAGAACAGTCGAATTTTTACAGCTGTAATTTTAGACTATATTTATTTAATAATGGATTTAAACACACTGGAATTTTATAGAGCGTACATTTTTTATTACATCTCTGTTAAGATTTATGTAACTTTGCAAAATAACACTGAAAGGAAGATTCATATTTAATTTATACACATTTAATTTTATACTTTTGACTCTTTAATTTTTATACACAATTTTACTCGTTAATTTTTATTATATTTAAGTACACATATTTAATTTTATTATTGTTATTCGTTCATTTAATTTTATTACACTTGAGTTTAAAATTTAACATTGAAAATGACCCGATCGGTGTCGAAACGTCTGCGAATTTTACCTACTAATTTTACTCTGTTTGCGTATTTTACTTGCGAATTTTACTCTGTTCGATTTTAATGTATTATGATTTGAATTCATTATATTTATAATTTTTAAGAAAACTATTTGGCTTTTTTCTTTTATTTTCAACTTATTTGTTTTATACTTGTTGAGCCTTCTATTAATTTATTGAATTCATAAATGCCATTATGTTTGTCTTATCTTCGACGTTTTTTAAATTTAACAATTCAATATACAAACAGACCTATGGGACACCTATGGGCTCACCGTTGTCTCCGATTGTAGCTGATTTAGTGTTACAAGATTTGGAAGAAAAAGCTTTAAATTTACTAAGTTTCAATGTGTCATTTTATTTTTGTTATGTGGATGATATAATTTTGGCAGCCCCGGAGGACAAAATCATGGTCATTTTTGATACTTTTAATAGCATTCATGAACGATTACAGTTCACAATAGAATATGAGCATAATCATTGTATAAGTTTTTTGGATTTGTTACTGATTGTGGAAGATGGTGGTATAACAATTGATTGGTTTCATAAGAAAACTTTTTCTGGGAGATATTTATCTTATTTGTCTAACCACCCTCTTTGTCACAAAATAGGCTCAATTTATGGCCTGGTGGACAGAGCGATATTACTATCACATCCTAAATTTCATTAGAAAAATTTAGAAAAATGTATTTCAATCCTTTTAAATAATGGATATCCGCTGGAATTAATTTTCAAACATTTTAGTATACGAATTAAAAATTTGATACAAATAAAAAAATTACTTCCACATTCAGTGATAAGTCGGAAGAAAGTAATAAAGATTTAAATAAGAAAAAGTTCATCGTATTTCCATTTATAAATAGTGTAACATATTCAATTACTCATATGTTCAATGAATCAGTCTATAGTATTGGTTACAGGTGTTTGAATAAGTTGGATAGATTTATTAAAGTACTTAAAGATAAAAAAGAAAAAGGTAATAGTAATAATGTTGTATATAAGATTCCATGTGAGAACTGTAATGTGACTTATGTAGGACAGACAAAGAGGAAATTAAGTACTAGAGTAAATGAACATATAAATAATAGAAAACTTGATGCATCTAGACATTCAGTTTTAACAAACCATGCATTAGAGTGCAATCATGTCTTTGACTGGAAGAATACGAAAATTATGGACTCCGAATCTAATTATAATACGAGATTGATATCAGAGACATTACATATTAAAGAACAGTTAAATGGTATTGTTACGTCCTGTAGACTCCACGATTCTTTTCTTTCAAAGGGTTGGTCAGCGTCATATCTAGAGTGAGATTTACGAGACAGGCCCGAGCGCAGATATCTGATAATAGAGCCTAAGTGCACTCCATGCGCTGGGAGACTCGTAAATGTCACTCAAAAGGAAAAATCAAAAGATAAAAATAGCGTACATACAAAAAGGATAGCAGAGATTAAAATTGCTGAACCGTACATTTCTAAGTACAATTACACGATAACGACAACTATGATAAGACCTAAGAAAAATCGTAAAATCTTTATCACTGAAACAAAAGGAAAAAACGCTAACATCAGCAATGATAAAAGCTAAGAAAAATCGTAAAATCTTTATCAAAAGGAAAAAACGCTAACATTAGCAATGATAAAACTTAAGAAAAATCGTAAAATCTTTATCACTGAGGAAAAAACGCTAACATCAGCAATGATAAAACTTAAGAAAAATCGTAAAATCCTTATCACTGAGGAAAAAACGCTAACATCAGCAATGATAAAAGTTAAGAAAAATCGTAAATCATGTCACAAGTTGCTAGCGTTGCAACAATTTCAGACAAAGGAAAAATCCGCCCTTTTGGGAGTATAAATAGAGGCCCTCGGAAGCGCACAGGGACAGTTCTAATCATCAGTCCACCGTGTCAGTTTTCCGAGGCGATAAGCCCGAGTTGACTGGCCCGGTTCCCCTTTTGTTCGCTCAAGTCACCTCTTTGATCGAAAGTCAGTTGTCCGAGGTGTTGCCCGAGTCAACTGACCAAGATCTGGTGTTCGGTTCGAGACAGTCCACCAAGGCCCACTCAAGGCCCGTCTACCGCTGTGCGCCTCCGAGGTCGTCGACGTCCACCAGGAGCACCCACGACCGACCGTGCGTCTCCGTGGCTTCCGAAGTCCAATAGGACCACACACGACGACCGTGCGCCTCCGAAGCCCCTCTGAAGCTTTTTGTACCGTGAGGGACTGACCGCCGCCATCTTTTCTTCGGTTATACAAGTAAGCCGTTGCCGTTCCCTTCCTTATCCCTTCCCCTTCCTTAATAAGAGTATGCGTACAAAGTACACTCAACTCCAATTCCTTTTTTTACAATTATTAACCGCTCCAATTTTAGTGCGCACTCGAGGTGCGACTAGGGAGCCTCGCGCTAGAGGCCCTTATATTAAGGACTCCCACCGGAATCCGCGGCCTGGGCAACTTCCGATGCCCGAAAGTACCACACCGCCGCTCCCCGCAAACACTACGCCGCCGTCTCTCTTTTTCTCGTATTCCCTGATCCATTCCCGTTAGATCGCACAGGTCCACTCCCAGGTAATAGGGATTAAGTTCCCTGACCTAAATTAAAGGACCAACGATCGTGACCGCTCACGGAGAAAGGCGTCATAGTGTCTCTTCCGAGACACTGACCCATTTTCCGGAGCACTTAAAGGTACGATCGACTCACAGGACACTCCACGGTGTGTACCTGCGAGAGCCCGAACTCGGTGACGCTCCTCCGTTGCCCCTTCCGAAAATTGGGGACTGAGCGTGACCGAATCTCGGGCAGAGTTCGTTGCGCCCTTCCGCAGCTCCTCCCGGAATCGGAGCTTGGACGTAACAGTATTAATTTGAAAAAGGATACTGAATCTCTCCATGACATATATGTTCATTTGCTTAAACGTGTTTCTGACGATGGATAGAAATGTAAACATGTGGGTGGGGTGGAGGGGGGGGTCTGGTTGACTGGATATGTATTGAATCTTTGTCACTAACGTGTGACCATCTGCACAGTTAGGACATATAGTGTGGTCGTAGTAATTTCGGATGTCTTAAGAGGAAATTGGTTTCATCTGTTAAGGGGTTTTTTTACGGCTGATGAGGACTCTGTGAAGTCGAAACGTACCGTATATTAATGTTATCATTATAATGAATTTATAGATATATTTAACAACCATTATTGCTCAATTTATTCTTGACCTGGGAGGTTTATTGTTAATTTTAATTTGTTAATTTATTTGAGCTGTTTATAATTCAATTTCAATTATTCTTTTAATTAAATTCAACTATTGCAATCAACTACTCGAATTGTAACAATCAAAGTGTAATCTTTTAATCGGGTAATTATATCAATTAAATAAAGGGTTAAATGTAACTAGTGATAATAACCACTCGAAATTGTAATTGTTATTTTAATAAAAGTGTGGTGCAGTGAGTGCTTGTTCTACGACCTTGACCACTTTCCTCGTTTTCCTCGTGGGTTCCAACCCTTTGAGCGGATCGAATCCCAAAATAATATTGGGTGGATCGATATATTCGTTCGGTTTTTGAAGGCTAAAATGAAACTTTTTTTCATACAAAGGATGAATTTTAATCAATGATATATTCTCCGTTTTTATTGATGACCTCTTGCCATCTTTCCAACAATTTCATTATTCCGCTCTCATAGAAGGTCTGGGGCTTAGAAGCGAAAAACCGGTCGAGGTACGTTTTCACAGCTGTCTGATCAGTGAACGATTTCCCGTTGAGGGAGTTTTGCAGGGACCGGAATAAGTGGTATTCGGATGGCGCAAGGTCTGGTGAATACGGTGGGTGGGGCAAAACATCCCAGCCAAGTTGCACTAATTTTTGCTGAGTGATTATTGCGGTTTGGGGTCTGGCGTTGTCATGGTGGAAATGACACCTTTGCGATTGACCAGTTCTGGACGTTTCTGTCGCAATGCTTGATTCAATTTCGTTATCTGCGTGCAGTAGACCTTCGAATCGATCGTTTTTCCCTGAGGAAGCAGCTCATAAAACAGCAAACCACGATGATCCCACCATATGGATAGCAAAATCTTCTTCGGATGCAGGCCGGCTTTCGGGGTGGCATTCGGCGGCTCGCCAGCGGTTCCCCACGATCTCTTGCGCACTATGTTGTAGTAGGTGATCCACTTTTCGTCGCCAGTCACTATTCGTTGAGAAACGGGTCGCTTTCGTGCCGCTTCAGAAGTGAATTGCAGATGGATATGCGGTTGGCCAGGTTCTCCTCGGTCAGCTTGTGCTGCAACCAAACATCGAGGCGGGACACGTAGCCCAGCTTTTGCAAATGCTTTTGAACGGTTTCATAACCTATCTTAAGTGTCTCCGCAATCTCTCGCACCTTTAACGTCCGGTCTTGCTCAACCAGTGCCTTGATATCATTCGAATCAACCTCAGTGGGCCGACCGCTGCGGGGTCCATCTTCAAGGCTCGTATCTCCGGAACGAAATTTGGCAAACCATTTCTGAGCGGCACGTTCTGTTAAGGCATCGTCCCCGTATACGCCGCATATCTTTCGGTCGGCCTCCGCAGCTCACTTGCCTTTCTTGAAGTAATAAAGCAAAATATGCCGAAAATGCACCTTATTCTCCGACATGTTCACAGTCCTGTAGCACAAACAAAACTAATTCCAATGAAACCAATTTTAACAGATGAAAAGAGCGGACTGTCACCTTTCCAAAACATATTTTGATTGCCCGATTAGGCAATTAGAATCGAAGATATTCGGAAAAAATTTGCACTATTAATAAAAACCGAACGAATATATCGATCCACCCAATATCTTGTTGCACCGAGAGGTACAACAACATATCTATAATAGAACAATGGTTGTAACGACAAACAATTAATTGCTTGTTCTTCCAAGTCCTGCATAACAATATCTGCTCATATTGGTGAAAGTGGTGAACCCATTGGAGTACCAAAAACTTGTTTGTAGAATTTACTATTAAAAGTGAAAAAAGTTGAATTTAAGACAAGACTAACAGCAATATTAAATTCATTTTTAGGAATCTTAGTATTAGGAGAAATGTGAAACCATCTTTTATCTATGCCATCCATGACTAAATTAAAAGGAATATTTGTAAAAAGTGAAACAACATCTAATGAGGCTATTACATACTGAGAATCAAAATAGGTATCTCTTAATTTTTAACTAAGTGGAAACTATTTTTAATATGGCTAGGAGCTGGTGGTAAGCTATCATTAATTATGTTGTGTAGGAAAAGGGAAAGGTAATATAATGGACTATTAATACAGGAAACAATTACTCTCAATAGGTTACCGTCTTTATGTATTTTTGTTAAGTCATAAGCTCTCGGAATAATACCGTCAGTTGTAAGCAGTTTACTATATGTTAGTTTATCAATACATCCAATGCTCTTCCACCTTGTAAGTAGTGTACGTAAATATTGAGCCTAGAAAGTGAAATACCTAATCGAGTCTTGTAACAGGATGTTAGTGTTAATTATAATTGTGTGAATTTATGTACCGCGTATGTAGTCCTCCTCGCGACGCTGATGGATTTTCAGCATTGACGCATACGTATTGACTACCGCAGTAATATCACTTTAGTTAAATTGACAATCAATCTAACAAATTTTGATGTCTATAGCATCTTATTAGATCTTAATAATATGTTGAAAGACATATATTAAAATTTAATGAAGAAATGATAATTTTAAATCTGTGAAAATAATAAGATTGCGAAGAATATCACAAGTTGGCGTTTCGTCCCGGTTTCCACTACTGGACTCATCAGTAAGGCATTTTAATGGAAACCTATCTTAGACGCCTTGGGGAGATGTTAGAAAGAAGTTCTATATAAACAATCACTCATATAATTCGGCACTTGCGAGAATTGCATTTCACTTTCTAGGATTTTTCTAAATCTTACGAGTCTACGGATATCATCATTCAATATATATATGTAAATATTGAGTTAATTTATTAGTTGGATCTTTATCGACAATTTCGTAAGTATTAGTGTCTGATAAAATCACTTCCATCTTTGATATATAAATGTCTTTATTCAGTAAAACAGTGACATTTCCTTTGTCGGCATTAGTAATAAAAACGTTAGGATGGTCGTTAATAAATTTTTTAGTTAAGTGTAACCACTTCAAAATATTCTTTTCAATAAAACTTGGTGAAGGAAAATTGTTATGAAGCCTATTAAGAATGGGAATAGAGTTATTTCTGACATAATTGACAATATTATCAGGACGGCCACTAATATTACCCTCAATATGCTTAAACCGCAAAAATTTGATCCTTCCTAAATTAAAATAATTACATAACCACAAAATAGAAAACCCAATAAATTTCAACCTTTGAAAATTAACCCCAAAAATTTGAACCTTTCTAAATTAAAATGATTATCTAATAATGTAACATAATAATTTAAACCTTCAATACTTTAAATGATATTCTCTAATATAATATATGACCACGAAAAGTAACTGATATATTACTAAATGTGCCAGTTCAAAGTGAACATACGTTATGTTATTTTCTATGTTGAATATGTACCACGAAAAGTAAATAACAGATTAGTCAAGGTACAAATTAAAATGAACATACCTACATATAACTAAAACAAATTACAATCTGCATATTACAGTTTTCTAGAAAATAACTGCAAGGAACATACATAAAATATATTTTTTTTGTTGAATATGTATCACGAAAAGTAATTAATAGATCATTCAAGGTGCAAATTCAAAATGAACATACATATATATAAGTAAAACAGATTACAATTTGCATATTACAGTTTTCTAAAAAATTTCTGCAATATGTTATTCTTAGTGCACAAAATATAAAAGTCGGTTATTGAGATTTGATTTGAAATTTATTTAATTTATACTAGCCCGTGCAATGAAAAATAATTGCTTGTAATTCGAGAGTACCAATCTGTTAATGACTCGGAAAAAGAACATGGCGGCCTGCTCTCAAAAGACTAATGAGTTTCTGTGGCGATTGTGAAAAAAACTTTTTAGGCTTCCAGACTGATGAAATGAACTGCAATGTTTACGAACATTGGCATTCTAAGCTATTCTAACCTAATAAATCTGGGCTCGAAGATAACCTGCGGAACACATAATTATCTTTGTTACTCACCGTTACAGCTTCTTTTACCTTATTTTTATCAACGGGAACTGTTTTGCATCGATACGTCCTAACCATTTTGCTATATAATAACGTATTTGCAATAGAGAAGAGACGAAAACCGCCAGGACAAAGGCCGTGTTCGGATATGCACTGCTAGTACTGAAAATCTATAGTGCACGTTACGTATACTGTAAATTTTTAGTAGTGGCAGTGCATATCCGACACAGCCAAAGTCGACACTATTGGCACGGACTATGGTTAAGTTAGGTTATTACTGCGCTGACTTTGCCCCGTTGTCTCTCTATGCCGACTTTGCCCCAACCGTCCATTTCTATTTTCGTTACACAAAATATATAATAAATCCATGAAACTGCGAGAATAGTCAGCGGATTCGTGTCCAGCATACACATTTCACTTAGAATTACTTATCTGGATAATTGTACAAGCGAAAAAAATACATATAATAACAAACCTTCTTCGCGTCAGAGAAATTACTTCCGACTGTATAAAACACGTTCGTCATTGTAGAAATTGCAATGTTGCCAGTAACTTAACAAAACTCCGTTGGCAAAATGGATACATGAAGACGCATCATTAGTATTAATCGCTAATTTATATGATTTATTGTTCGTAAGTTAAAGCGAATGATGACTTTACCCCGAATTAGCCCCGGTCTCCCCTACGTAAAGCTATTACAATTAAAACTTTTTTAGCATTGAATATCTTGTATTTGATATATAATTTCTGCGACATATGTATAGGATAACCTTAAATTATGTAGCACATTTTGTAAGTATACTGATGCATGATAATTTTTGCATAGCAAAGATTTTGAAAATTTTATTATAATCTGCAAAACTTGCATATCTCTGCAACACAATTGTTATCTCTCCGGTATTTTGTTAGATCTTCTCTTTTATTCAAGTCGTTTTATTGATAAATGTAGTTTTTATTAATAATGTAGGTAATGTTAATATAATGATGAATAATACAAAACTATTTTCAGGTTTCAAGACATTGAATTTTTACGTACTATCTGGAGACACGGTAGTGTCTCGGCGCTAAGCCAAGCGCGCGACGACCGTGCCTCCTTTACGCGAAACTGAGAATTTTTCGGGGTCGAGATGATAAGATCTCAGTAACGGCTGAACCGATCAAGTTTTACATACGCTCAATCGATAGCAAATACTTAAATTGTACCATAAAAGTGCTTTCATTTTTTTTCTACGTGTCCTACGAGCGGAGATATCGCGACGCAAAGTCCGGATCTGTGAATTTTCACGTTTCATTTTTAAGATACGTCATCGTCGTCATTAACGTCGTCGACCAGAGAAAATGTCCATCTCGTTTTCTCGATAATAGAGGGCCTTTGACTTTATGTGTTATCTCACTCTATCTATCATCTCACTCTATCTATCTATATCTAGCCAGCAGACCAGTGTTGCATGGTGTATCACATATGACGCGCGAGCGGTTTTAACCTTATAATTAAAAATAAAATAATATTCAATATAATATAAAATATTTATAAACGAAAAAAGTTAAAAGGACGTTGTAAGAGTCAAAAGAAATAATTTAAAACAACAATTAAAAAAAGAAAAACGCATATATGTAATAAATTAATTTCAAAAGAAAAAATTCCTTCGAAGATGTAGATTAAAAATTAACAATATAAAAAGACTTGTTTAAAATTCGAAGATGTACATTAAAAAATAACAATATTCAAAAAAACCTGCTTAACGTTTCGACTCGTAGATTGAGTCTTTTTCAAAAGCGCCAAAATATTCTTAAAGTTAAAATTCATTGAATTAATTCTGCGAATCCATCTTCATCACAACCAACTATTGTTCCTCTAGCGATTAGTAGATCGCAAGAAAAAAGTCAGCTATAAAAATTATGTAGATATGACAAGCTTTAGAATCAAATTATTAAATCCATCAAGAAAATTGTACGTTAACAAAAATTGTAACAATATCAAACCTTTGAAGATGGGCAACATTATTCAAAGCTCTCTAAATCAGTCAGTACACTCCGCAATCTATTCGTCAATGTGTAATTTTTTAACGTCAAAATTATAAAATTGATATACATTATTCCGCAATTAATAAATATGTGACGCCGCTATGAATGTTCGAAGGAAACTGATACAAAATACAACATGACAATGTCAGACTTTGTTTATAATCGAAGAATATGCTTCGTGGAGATCTATCGTGTCAGATTGTAAGTTAAGACTGTTATTCTGTCTTTTAATATTCAACATCTCAGATACTAAACGCTTTTTATAACACGGTTCTTCATCAAGAATTTCCACTTCATCCCAAAGAAATTCATGATCATGTTGCACTCTATGATCAGTAATAACCGAACGTGTAGATGTGTTATGTCTAATATGATTCCGATGCTCTGCGATTCTGGTTTTTAACTGTCTACCAGTCTGACCGACATAAGACGCATCACAATCTGCACATGATATCTTATATA